TTTTAGTAGAGATGGGGTTTCACCATATTGGCCAGGCTGGTCTTGAACTCCTGACCTCATGATCCGCCTGCCTCAGCCTCCTATAGTGCTGGGATTACAGATGTGAATCACGCATCTGGCGAGTCTGTTGATTCTTAAAGCTGCCTTTGTGGATGTTGAAGAAATGCCTTCCTTATTTTGTCATAAATCTGATGACTCTAAAGCCTGCATAGGGTATTTAAAAATAAGCTAAAAGGGGAGGGAGAGTGCAGATTCACAGTCCTATTTTATACTAGTTTAGGTTAAATTTCCATTTAATTCTGTAAGCATCCGTTGACGGATAACACATATTCCCTATCTTTGACAAGCTCACAGTCTATTAGGGAGATAGAAAAGTACAGAAAAGGAGGCCGGGTGCTGTGGTTCATGTCTGTAATCACAACACTTTGGGAGGCCGAGGTGGGCAGATCGTTTGAGCCCAATAGGTCGAGACCAGCCTGGGCAACATGGTGAAACCCCACCTCTAAAAAAAAAATATTTTAAAAAAATTAGCCAGGTGTGGTGGTGTGCACCTGCAGTCCCAGCTACTCAGGAGGCTGAGGTGGGAGGATCACTGAGCCAAGAGGCAGAGGTCCCTGTAAGCTGAAATCCCACCATTGCACTCCAGCCTGGGTGACAGAGCTAGACTCTAACTCAAAAAATTTAAAAAAGGGGGGAGGGGGAAGAAAAGTACACAAAAGGGATTAATGTCATAATCAAGGGCTGACAATTACCTATTGCATTTGGCAACCAGAAATCAATGGTGAATTCACAAGGGCACTTTCTAGAGAGTGGTAGGAGGTGGTAGGTTGAGGAGGAGGGAGAAACACTTCACAATAGCAAAGCAGGAAGGTGTTCTGTTTTCTTGGCCCCATCTTACTGCTGTCTCAGCACCACTGACCAGGTAGCAGTATTAAGGGCACATGTGGAGCACAGTAGGGAAAAAAAATGAAGGGCCTGCCTGGGCAGAAGAGGTAAGGTGTAGAGCCAGGGAGGGGCACGGGTATCTGCACTGCAGTGAGTCACATGGGTGGTTCTGTGCACAGCCACTCCTCTGGACGCTTGTCCATATTGCTGTGTGCACCAGCAGAGCCATGGCCAGCACACTGTTCTACTGGAGAATACATTATTAGACTTTGCTGCTACCTAGTAGCCTTTCCAACAATCTCTAAGCATCTTAAGGGAAGAAGCCATGGCAATTTGCTCACCATTGTCTCCTCATACCTAGAATACAGCCAGACACGTGGTAGGTGCTTCATAAAAACAAACAGCTGAATACCACTCTACCCTTTGTTAAATCCAGTGGAGACTGTTAGATAAAAATTTGTTTCCAATAGCAGTGTAGTTGTTTTGCCTAGTACCGCTTGACCTTCCTATCGACAGCCTTTCCAACGACTGGCAACTATCACAACTTCCTACACTGGTGCCTTTATCATTGAACCACCTTGAGTCTAAGTTTTCAGACTGCCAAGGATTGAATGGCCCCTTTTATCTGAGCCAGAGATCACAGCCCAGAGGGAGCAGGACCAGTATTTCATGCTTTACTTCTTGACTTCTTTCTCCTGTTACACAACTCAGCCTATTTTGCCAACCAAAATGCTGACATCATCATCCTCCTCACTGCCTCTTCCCCCACAGAGCTTCTATTTTTGTTCTTCTAATATGTGTGCATATGTATGTATATAAACTTTATTGGCCCAGCAAGCCATACAAATCCCTTCCCTTCTGTTCCAATGTCTCATTTCACTCCCGGAGTTAAGGATGCCCTCACACAGTTGGACCGTTGATTCCCTGACGCTTGCTGATGTTTTGCTGCAGCAAGAGGAACAGAAGGTCTCTCTAAAATTAATTTTTTAATCCCCTGCTTTAGGACTAGAGAAAGGGCTTTTTGAGCTCAATCATATAGCTTAAGACTATGCAAGCAATTTCACCAGGCTAGAGTATACCTGAGAAATTTCCACAAGGACTTTTCTCAACAGAATGTAAAATACAGAAACTGCTCTGAGAGTCATGGTGAATAAATTATCTGCATGGGCCTCAACCCCTCTGGGTGGAGTAGAGGTAATATTATAGGACTTCATCTTGCTGATTACCCATAGTAAGCAGGGATGGCATAATGGAAGGGGTCTCTTCCCCATTAGACAGTGGACTCTTTGAGGCAGATTCTATGCTTTTTGTATTGTCAGTGCCTTGTCCAGTGTAGGCACTCATAGTTATGACTGTTGAAATAACTTCAGCATGCAAGACATCCCTGACTTGCCCTGCAGTTTGTGAGGCAGTATATGTTGAGTATATGATGCTGAGTTCTAGTTTTCCTTTTCACCGGCATAGATGAGGTCATCTCAGTGAGCTAGCAGGTATGAAAGGAAAATAAAATCTCAAGACCCCAAACTCACTATGCCAAAAGGAAAGATAAGCTTGGGAACCGAGTCACGCAAAAACTTCCTTTCTTTTGTTACCAAACAGATAGCTGTAACTTCACATGCTTACTTTATGTCAAATGTAGATGTACTGAGCTCCAGAGGGATGCATAATTGGCCATTTCTCTACCCCTCCTTTCACATGTAAAATGTAGATTCACTGAGTGCTAATCAAAGCCTCACAAGACCACCTGCCTCACTGCCTATCTTCCCCACCCTATACCCAGTTTTTTCCTTTCCACTTTCCCCTCTCTTTCCTTTTTAAATATTGAAGTCCTCAGCACAAGTCACAGATCCAACTGTAATTTGTGTTTCTTTTCAACCTCAACCTCAGCTTTGGCAAAATGAACCTCAAAACCAGTTGAAACTTGGCAGGGTGCAGTGGCTCATGCCTATAATCCCAGCACGTTGGAAGGCCGAGGCAGGTGAATCACCTGAGGTCAGGAGTTCAAGACCAGCCTGGCCAACATGGTGAAACCCTGTCTCTACAAAAATACAAAAATCAGCTGGGTATGTTGGTGGGTGCCTGTAATCCCAGCTACTTAGGAGGCTGCTGCAGTAGAATCTCTTGAACCCAGGAAGCGGAGGTTGCAGTCAGCCAAGATTGTGCCACTGCACTCCAGTCTGGGCGACAGAGTAAGACTCTGTCTCAAAAAAAAAAAAAAGAAACTTGTCTCAGTATTTATTTTTTTCTGGTTGACACAGGCTACTTCTGCCAAAGTGCTGGCCTTGACTCTGCCATCTGCCCCAGGTTTTGAAAGGTCACTCCAAAATCCACACCCAGCAGGTCACTGGAAAAGTTTGACTATTTACTAAAGACTACCTATACTCATGTTTCTTAGATTAAAAAAATAGCATCAGTGCATTACTCAAAACACAAAATCTTCCCTACAGAGAAAAGGGCAGGGGTATTGAGAACATAAGGAACTGGTAATCTAGGTTTACAGCTGCCAAATAAATCTAATGTAAGTAGCATTGCTCTAGTTTTTAATGATTTTATGTCAAATTGAAGAATATCCTCATATTATATCCTATAAGCTCAGGGCCCAGAGCCTACAAATGGAAAAGTTCAAAATCAGAGTTTAAAAATATTAAGTGAATGTCTGTTTCATTAGTTGCTAAACTTTCCTTTCTTAAAAATTCCATAGGCTGGGTGTGGTGGCTCATGCCTGTAATCCCAGCACATTAGGAGGCCAAGGTGGGCATATCACTTGAGGCCAGGAGTTGGAGACCAGCCTGGCCAGCATGGCGAAATCCCATCTCCACTAAAAATACAAAAATTAGCCAGGCATGGTGGCACACACCTGTAGTCCCAGCTACGTGGGAGACTGAGGCAAGAGAATCGCTTGAACGCAGGAGGCAGAGGTTGCAGTGAGCAGAGATCAGGTCACTGCACTCCAGACTGGGCGATGGCGCAAGACTCCATCTCAAAAAAATACAAAATACAAACTTCTATAACCAACCAGAGGCAGTGACTCATGCCTGTAATCCCAGCATTTTGGGAAGCTGAGGCAGGCAGATCACTTGAGGCCAGGAGTTCAAGACCAGCCTGGGCAACATGGTGAAACCCCATTTCTACT